TACAACTTAAGAACAAATCTTAATTTGTTCTTAAGTTGTAAAATCTGTGCGTACGAACGGTTCTTGCATGAGGCCAAGTGTTTGTCCCCAGTACTGGCGGGGAAGACAAGCAGTTCAGAGACAAAGTGCAGGATCACACGGGGTGTTTCTGTGAATCCCCTCTCTGTTATCAAGTCTCACTCTAATCAGTTCATGTCTACTCAAGTGTAACTGTGTCTCCATGGCAGTGGGTGGATCMCCAGCAGGTGGCTTCAACCTTCACCCAAATACATCCAAATCAGATCTTTTTTTCTGGGTTATCCTGAGTGATTGTTTTGGTCAGATTTATTATCATTCACTGTTTTATTCCTCCTTTCAGGGTCCTCCTAACTACAGCACATACGCAGGTCTGCACAGTAATCAGATTGTCGCTGTCAAGGTTTGTCTCTCCAGAAAAACCCGTCCTCAGCTCTCCCAGCCATCCCTGTTAGTCTCTGTTTTCCTTCAGGCTGCTGCAGCTCTGTCACTGTCCCTGCAGAAAGACCATTAAACACCTTCCTTTTCAGCCTTTCCTTTTACTCCTGATTCCCAGTTTGCTGTATTTTCAGTTATTTTCCACTGCGGTGGTCATGTTTCTCCCCTCTGGACTTTCAGTTTAACARGGATGTCTGACTCATTTATCTCTTTCTCTGCTCTTCTTCATGACTCGTCCTTCTTTTCTCCTAATTCTCTTTTTCTATATTCTGTTTATTTGTTTTTTTTTTTCTGCTCTTGCTAAATCTGTTGCATCTTAGATGGTTTTCCCACGGTACGACCACAGCTTTCTCTCTGGAGAGCAGTACAGCAGCTTTCAGAGACACTTTCTGAAGGTAGACCTCGACTAAAAGGCATGTGGGCTCCTTTTTTAACACTTTAACCCACCTTTTGTTTGTCATCTTTTCTTCTTTATGTTTTCACCTTGTGTTTGGTCATGCTGCATTAAATCATGTGTGTTGTAATATAAGGTGTACAACTTTTTTTAATATTCATTATCTTGACTAATTGACCACTATTTTTTTTTTTTTTTTAACGTTTATAATGCTTGCAAAATGTAGAAAACATTTATCAGAAAAAAAATTAAAAAGTTTTAGTTGGCATTGTTGGCTCAACATAAAATGAGCCAGTCCCTTCATATTTAATCCATGCCACAATTTTTTTTTACGATATTGTGTCAGTCCAACAGAAATCAAAAAATTTGACCAAAACAATGTAGTTGAATGAATTTTCTCTGAAGCAGCGGGTCAGTTTGAACGTTTGTTCATCGTGTAGCTGCAGATTCAGAGCAGAACCGTCCCAACGCTGGTGGAAACAGATAAGAAGTTGCTTTAAATGACATTAACGGTTTGTGGGCGGCAAACAAATGAAGARGATGGGCATTAAAATGTCAAATCTGTGTCTAAGATTTACAATAAATTTTAGAAAACAAAGTCATCGTTTGAAGATTTTTTTTTCCTTTTTTGAATGAGAAACATGCCTCAAGAAATTAAAATCGTTCGTTTGCATGACTCAGGATGTTTGACTAAGTGGCTGAGCATTATTCTGACTCAGCAGATGAAGAGTGATGCAACGGGACTGTTTATTTCTGAGTCTTCTGCTGTTTTTAGTCGCATGTTGAGTTTTTTAAACAGCAGATCATGCGAGATTAAGCAAACAGGTTGCATGCTAATGAACATAGAAGCTTGTAAATCCTTCTTAATTTTGTTTAAAATATTGGATTTAAAGCTGTTTGATAGGAAATAATTCAACCCCCCCCCCCAAAAAAATGCTTGTTTCTTCCATTTTACACAAAACCATTTTGATAAAAAGATTAAAATAAATGTTTTCAAAGACTTTCACACATTTAGGTCACTCTCATTTTTGACTTTCAGTGAGGTTTGGCTCTTGTGAGAAGAGGCTTATGCGTACAAAAGCAGAACTCATATTTTATTGTGCTAAATAGTGCCAAAAATATAAAATTTGTTCAATTCAAAAACACTTTATTGATCGCAGAGGGAAATATGATAAATATCAGCTTAAAAACTATATTAAATTTAAAAAAAGACTATTTTTTCCAGGATAAAATCTGTTAGGAAAGCAGAGAGCGGCTGTTTTTTCCCCATAGTTTTCTCGAGTTAACGAGTTATGCTATTCTTGCGTATCATTCCTTGTGTACCATGGAGACAGCTCCATCCCCTCGTTATGTCATGTCGTTATCACGAGAAAACCATGCAAAATCATTATATGCAGAAAACGGCCACTCCGTATGTTTCTTTTTGGCACCAACTGGTCAAACAAATGAATAACTTTATGTTTAAACATCTTTTTTTAATGATTTGTGAAGTTGCATCTCCTGCTTGTTAGATTTTCTTTGAAGAAAATCACTTTTTGTTTCTTTTCCAACGTACAAATTAAGTTACTAATACAAATAATATGGATGAATTTTATTTCTTTCATTTAGATTTCTTCTTTCTGTTTTGTTATTCTTTACATCAGGGCGATCAGGGTCAAGCGGGACCTGTTGGTCCTCCCGGTCCTCCAGGTCCACCAGGGCCCCGCGGACCCCCCGGGAACACCGGCAAGGATGGGCCTCGTGGTCCTGCTGGAGAGCCGGTAAGAACATCACTCACGTGGAATCACTCTGCCTTCATTTGACACCAGAAAAAGTGGTTACTGAAAAGTCCAAAGTACTTCTGTAAAACCAAAGTGCTTAAGTTTTAACACCGAGGCGGTCCTCTTTGTGGGTCTGCAGAGATCCATATACAGTAGACGGGTGAGGGTCTTCACAGCAACCTGATCCTATGGTCTCATTCTTTCAGGGATTTGCCTGTAAGCTTTGGCTTACCTAAAAAAAAAAAAGGAGAAGAAAAAACCTAAAATAACAACTTTGCTTCAAGCCTCATCTGTTTTGCGTAAGTCAGCTGCCACAAAGTTCTGCAAACCGTTCTCCCACCCTCCCGTCACAACTGCGATGTCGTGCTGGCTGAAACAGATACGGCACTGCGGTGAGTTCACGGGCAGTTTGCCGGCCTCAGCAAAACAATAGCGTCCACCTCGCCTCGGGCAGATTCTGCCCCTCAGAGTTTAGCTCATCCTTCGTGGCAGCATCAGTTTTCTCCAGTCGAAAAGAAGAAAAAAAAGAGGGGGAAAAAATAAAAATAATTTTTGTTTATCTACTTGAAAGAATATCTGCTGTGTAGCGCTCATCTGGTGCTGGACGAGAAAGGGATCCGTGTGAAAAATGTTGGTTTTGACGTGGTTGAGTTGAGAACATGTGCAGAACCAACAACAGAGAAGAAGAGGCCAGATCGGCTCAGAGAGTGACAGAAAACAGACGGGCCGGAGAGAAGGAGGAGGGGGGCGCTTCTTGTAACGTAGCTGATCGCTAAAGAGTGTGCTCCGAGTTGATTAAAGGAGCTGCAAAACCCCAAAACAGCCAAACAAAGTGGTGCTGAGAGCTGCTCCATMTTGTGAGCAGATGTCTGAATGGGAAAGTGAGTAGAGCTGAACCAGCGTGGGTCTCCTACAGGAATGACTAAACGATTTAGCTAAGGTAGTGGCTAAATATTTTCACTTAAGAAAAAAGGATTCAGAGAAAAAAGTTTACAAAATTGAGGTAAACTTAAAGCTATCCTGAGCATGTGATAGTGAGGGATTTGATGGACTGAGGTGAGAGGACTGAGGTGAGAGGACTGAGGTGAGAGGACTGAGGTGAGAGGACTGAGATTAGAGGACTGAGGTGAGAGGGCTGAGGTGAGAGGACTGAGNGAAGACAGGCTTGAGGTGAGAGGGCTGAGGTGAGAGGACTGAGGTGAGAGGGCTGAGGTGAGAGGACTGGGAAGACAGGCTTGAGGTGAGAGGGCTGAGGTGAGAGGACTGAGGTGAGAGGACTGAGGTGAGAGGACTGAGGTGAGAGGGCTGAGGTGAGAGGCTGAGGTGAGAGGGCTGAGGTGAGAGGACTGAGGTGAGAGGACTGAGGTGAGAGGACTGAGGTGAGAGGACTGAGGTGAGAGTACTGGGGTGAGAGGACTGAGGTGAGAGGGCTGAGGTGAGAGGACTGAGGTGAGAGGACTGGGAAGACAGGCTTGAGGTGAGAGGGCTGAGGTGAGAGGTTTGAGGTGAGAGGGCTGAGGTGAAAGGACTGAGGTGAGAGGGCTGAGTTGAGAGGGCTGAGGTGAGAGGACTGAGGTGAGAGGACTGGGGTGAGAGGACTGAGGTGAGAGGGCTGAGGTGAGAGGACTGAGGTGAGAGGACTGGGGTGAGAGGACTGAGGTGAGAGGGCTGAGGTGAGAGGACTGAGGTGAGAGGACTGAGGTGAGAGGACTGAGGTGAGAGGGCTGAGGTGAGAGGACTGAGGTGAGAGGACTGAGGTGAGAGGACTGAGGTGAGAGGGCTGAGGTGAGAGGGCTGAGGTGAGAGGACTGAGGTGAGAGGACTGGGGTGAGAGGACTGAGGTGAGAGGGCTGAGGTGAGAGGACTGAGGTGAGAGGACTGAGGTGAGAGGACTGAGGTGAGAGGGCTGATGTGAGAGGCCTGAGGTGAGAGGACTGAGGTGAGAGGACTGGGGTGAGAGGACTGAGGTGAGAGGGCTGAGGTGAGAGGACTGAGGTGAGAGGACTGAGGTGAGAGGACTGAGGTGAGAGGGCTGATGT